CGGAGGCAGGAGCTAAACCTGCCATCGGGCTCCCGGGGCAGATGGGTCTCCAGCCATGCCTCCTGGTGACTGAAGTTGTCAAGGGTGCCAGGCAGGGCACAGTGGTGGGCAGGCACAGCAGCCAGGAAGATAGGCAGGAGAAAATTCAGGGGTAGTATCACTCGGGGCAGGGCCATTAGTGCCAGATTCCGCAGTTGGAAGGATCCAAAGCCACCCACTTCATCCAGCAGTTCCTCAAAGCCCATGCTGCCCACCCACCAGACGTCCCGACACAGGCTCCCTTTGTAGTGCCTAGCACAGCTCAACCTGCTCACCACATGGACCTTTGGACTATGGAGGTGGGGGTGGGTGGACTGATGTGTGGAGAGTTGACAGCCAGAATTCAGTCCTCAGAGGCTGACCCAGACCCAGGCCCTCCGGTCTACCTAGGACACTTCCTCTCTGGCCTAATTCCTGAGGGGAGGGGCTGCTGTTCGTTTGCTCAGAGGTCACTGACTCTGTAGCTCTGGCACTTGTACAGCAGAGCTCAAGAAAGGTAGCCTTGGGCTACTCCAGCAGGGTAGATGGGTGTGGTAGATGGGTGTGCAGGGGTGAGCCTCAATCTCTTAAGTCAGTTGAGCTCTTAAGGTTTCCTATGAATGGGAGGACCCTGGGGCCTGGTTCCAGCTCTCCTGGGTGCCCTTTGTCCTACAAAGCTTTAGGTCAGCTTTATCTCTTTGCAGCTGCAGCCACAGTCTGACCCACGGCTCAGGATTCAGGATTGAAGGCTGGGTCCTCACCAGGTGAAGTGTTCTTTCTGTTGGGCCACTAGGCTTCCTCATGTCCTGGCCTAAGCTGCACCTGGAACTGCACTAGGCAATGAGGCCTCTCTGTGGGTCCCAGACTCATCACACTCCTACTTCTACTCAGGAGCTCTCCCCATGCATAGGATCCCTCCTGCCTGCCCCATCCTCTTATTTCCAGGAATTTCCCAGATGACTTCTTGGAGGGGTGGGGAGCGAGGAGTTTTGCCAAGATCCTTCTAGAGGAGCCTGCAATCCTGAGACCCAGGACTTGCTCAATCTGATATCTGATGCTTCTACTCAGTTCTCACTCACGACCCCTGTAGCAAAAGGAGAAGAAGCCAGCAATGTCAGATTATTCTGATCTGATTCTCCAAACACCAATTTGGCAGGTGTGGAATGTTGTTAAATTGTGTTCCAGGACTTCTAAGCTCCAGACTTCTAAGCAAATGAAATTCCAAAGGTGTTCTTTGAGAAAAGACACACACACACACACACACACACACACACACACACACAGTTTGAAAAACATTCATTTAATCTAGCTCCCACTTTGAACAGATGAAGAAAACACGACAGGATGGGGATCCGCTGGTGGAGGACCAGGAACTCTGACTCCAGTCTAGGGCTCTTGCCTTTGACCTGAGATGCCAACTGCAGATGTTCTGGTCAGCTTCAAGTTGGCTCCTAGAAAAAGCTCTAGGAAAGGAGCTAAATCAGTGATGCTGACAGGCATGGGGAGGGCAGTGATGGAGGGCAAGAGAAAAATGGTGGTAGTAGTGACAGAAGGTGATAATAGTAAGAGACTCTGGAGCAGACTAGGTGTTCTGAAGAGTTCAGAGGTATCTTGGGCATGTCCCTGCCTTTAGAGAATTTATAGAAGAGTTAAGATAAGTTACACAAACCATACACACACGTATACACCCCAAAATGTGCGTTGTAAAATGCAAATCTGATCCCTGTTTAAAACATTCCACCAGCCACTACTGCTAGAATGTAAAAGTCCAGCCCTCAGCTTGGTCCATATTACTCCCCAAACCACCTACTCACCAGTCCATCTCTGACCCCTCCCCAGGATCCCCATTCCCTCCAGTTCTTCAAACACTAGCTAGTTGGTATCTCACACCTCACCCCTGATCCTTGGGTAGCACTAGCTTCCTTATTATTCACCTGGTGGGTGCCTAGACTCCCTGAAGACTAGCTCAAAAGGAAATACCTTCTGTCTCTCTCACTCACACCCACTTGTGACCCTTCACACTGTTGGTTCCTCACTTATTTAATTCTATATGATCATATTATTTATACTAATTTTGTAGTATAGTATAAAATACTATAACCATTTGCAACTCCTGAGAAGTTAAGGTTTTTGGCCACCTCATCTCGATGGCCCATCCAGTGGCTCCACAGTGGAATAATCTAAGGTTCTTACACAGAAGTTAACGAGGCTAATCTTGGGCATTGGCTGTGTGCCTTAATGTACACAGTGGGACTTTATCTCCTCCTTTAATATCAGAAATAGCTGACAATCATACAGTGGTCACCTCTCTCTCCTTATATTGGCTTCTAGGATACACATATAAATGTGTAGCCCCTTTCTACAGAAAACAATTTAGCAATAATTGCACCACTGGCTTTATCCCATTCCCTGACTCCACCTCATGTGGCTGGCCACTCTCTGATGTCATAGACTGAGTATGAGAGGACAGATCAACTCTGAAAAACCAGTCAAGAAGCTGGGCAAGGTGGCGCGTGCCTGTAATCCCAGCAGCTCAGGAGGCTGAGACAGGAGGATTGTGAGTTCAAAGCCAGAGTCAGCAAAAACAACGTGCTGAGCAACTCGGTAAGACCCTGTCTAAAATACAAAAAATGGGGCTGGGGATATGGATCAGTGGTCAAATATCCCTGCGTTCAATCACTGGTACCAAAAACCAAAACAAACAAACAAAAAAACAGTTAAGAGCTGGTTTGATTGGATTTTTGACTGTTCCTCCACTCCCTCAAACTGGGAATCCAACTCTGAATTCAGATGCCAAGTTAGAGACCTTCACATATACCTAACTGAATGAAAAGAAGCCTTGGAAAAATAATTCTTTAGTTGAAATTACCTCTAGACTTGTAATAAGTAGTAGGCTTTGGGGAAGAATAAGTTCCTGGGAGAAACAATGAAATCTGTTTGCGTTTGCTTCCTGCACTTAAAGCCTTTATACTTTTGCTCCTTTCTCTCCACATTCCCACGATTGTGTCTCCTCTCCAGGGGCCCTTCTCTACTAACAAAAACTTTTCCCAATGTCCCTGGTCTTGTGGCCCCCATGAAGACCCTGAGTGTGTGAACTTGCCCATGCTGTTAACTTCTCTGGGTGCCTGCCTTCAGACTATCTTTGATGACAGGACAGAGCAGAAATGTCTTTCTGGGGGAGAGTGGGGAGAAGATGTGCCCAGGGCTGGGCAGGTCTTCACTGTGGAGCATTGGGCAGTCCCTGACAGCCAAGCTGGGCCTTAAAAGTGAACAGTGGCTGGGAGGTCTCAGGTTTCTTGGGGAGGGGGATGGATGGACAGTTCCTATCCCCTTGAATGCTGTTTTTCTTGGCATGGCCCGTGCAGGCCAGGTCTGGTCCTATTCATCCTTCACTTCCTGCTTCCCACCTGTGACCCACCACACTTAGCTACACACAGACTCACTTTGCCCATGCTGCTCCCTCTGCTAGGCATTGTTTTCTCCTCTTCAGGTGTCCAACTCCTGTGTGGCCTTCAAAATTCAGTCCTAGAACATACATTGGGGTTCTTCTTCGATGCTCCAAGTTTAGGCTGGGAGTTCCTCCCTGACCTTCGGTATCAAAGCACTTACCACGTGTAAAGTGGTCAATTCTATCCACTTCTGGAGAACATGCTGAGCTTTGTCTCAGTGCTCAGTGTCTGGCATAGCTTCTGGTGTACGTGGGTCTCAGCAATAGTCTACAAGATTAGTTGACTAAGTGGGTGAATGAATGAATAACTGACTAATAAATAATAAACAAAGAGTCCATGGCATTCATTGATTAATCCAATCTCAGTAATAATCAAAGAAATTTTAAAATAGAATAAAATTGCCTGGCCAAGTATGGGCACATTCCTGTAAATCCAGTAGCTTAGGAGGCTGAGGCAGGAGGATCTCAAGTTCAAAACCAGCCTCAGCACTTATCGAAGCCCTAAGCAACTCAGCAAGACCCTCTCTCTAAATGAAATATTAAAAGGACTGGGGATATGGTTTAGTTGTTGAATGCCCCTGGGTTCAATCCCTAGTACCAAGAAAAAAAAAAAAAGAACAAAATACATTTTTTTTTTAGTTTTAGAAGACACAATACTTTTGTTTATTTATTTTTATATAGTGCTGATGATCAAACCCAGTGCCTCATACATGTGCAGCAAGTGCACTTAAAAGAAGGCAGTTGCAAAAGGATCATGCATTAAAAAAATTTCATTTATATGAAATATCTAAAATAGGCAAATCAATTGATAAAAAGTAGGTTAGTGGGACTATGATGTGATTCAGTGTTACAGTGTGCGCCTGACATGCATGATGTCCTGGGTTTGATTCCCAGTACTGCAAGAAAATAAACTGCAGATTAGTGATTGCTTAGCATTATAGAGGTTTCTGGGAAAAGGAGATGACTACTAATGGGTAGAGTTTCTATTTGGGGTGATGGAAATGTTATTGGTCACCTGTGCTCCTTTGCTTAAGTTCTTTTCCCAGTCTTTTTGAAATACCAGGGATTGACCCCAGGACCTTAGGCATGCAAGGCAAATGCTATACCATTGAACCACATCCCCTAGCCCTGGAAAAGCTCTAAAATTGGTTGTATAACTCTATGAATATACTAAAAAACATTAAATAGTAATCTTAACTGGTGAATCGAATGGTATGTAAGTTATATTTCAATAAGTTCACTTTAAAAAGTTGGGATAACTAGACGCTGTGGCCCATGCCTACAATCCCAGCAATTTGGGAGGCTGAGGCAGGAAAATTGCCAGTTTGAGGCCAGCCTCAGCAACTTGTGAGGACCTAACTTAGCAAGACCTTATCTCAAAATAAAAAAATAAAAAGGGATGGGGATGTGATTCAGTGGTAAAATACCCACTGGATTCAATCACCAGTACCAAAAAAAAAAAAAAAAAAGATAAAAGGGGAGGGGCGCCCTGTATTTCAAGACTTTGTTAGGCATAAAATCACATTTCAGAATAGTAGGTATAATATGCTTCCTTTTATTTATAAGAAATGTTTACATATATGGATAGACAGAGAGAAGAGTTATTATAAACATAAAAAAAGATCTATAATGATATACACCAAGCTGTTCACAAGAGTCGCATTCATGGATGGGTCTTGATATTTTATTTTATATGCTTCTGGCCTTTACTACGAGTATTCCTGATTTTGACATTTTAAACAAGGAAAGTGAAAGCACGGGGGGCCCACTGAAGACCCTAGACCCCACTAGTGACTGTGTTGGAAAAAGGCGGTCCCAGAACACCATGGTGGCCTCCTCAGAGACAGTAGGGCTTTGGAGCCTGAGCCTTCCCCCTCACTGCCATCCCAGTGCTACACAGAGCCTGGGCTTGGGACAGAAATCGTTTATGCATTCACTAGGTGAAAGTTCCACTCCTAAGTGAACTTAGCATTCAAAATGCAAAAGGTAGCACATCCAACAGTACAGCTTCCTCCCTACCTGGGTCCTCTCTTCCTGAGGTGACCAGAGACTGCTGATTCATCTCATGCTCTATTCCACCCAAAGAATTGTACCATATCCTGTTGTCATGGAAACTGGCCCATAAGTGTATATAAAGAGCTGCCTCTTCCATTTTACAGTCTCATAGTACCCCATGATTGGGGTCCCCATCACATGCATGGGCCATGCTCTGTTGTCCAGTCCCAATTAATGAACATTTAGGTTGCTGCGGAACGGTTACTTTATAGGTCCACAGTCTCTTATCCAAATCAGAGACAGAAAGGTAATTTTTTAAAAAGAAAGAAAAGGTAATTCAGTGCATATTCCCTATATTATGAAATACCCTAATAGAATCTAGAGCAGTGCCCCATAATCAAAAACATTCATATTTCCACTGAAAACATGTATGATAAGTGGAATTAATAAAGATTATAAACCATCCTGTCCTGTTTTGATATCAAGTGAGTTTGTACCAATCTAATGAAAAAATTCTCAGTTTTCAGAACTTTGGAGGTTTTGGAATTACAGGTGAGGCTCTGTGGTGCAATACAAAGAGCTTCAGTGAATAACTTTGGACACACATAATTGGTGTGTGTACAAGTACATCCCTAGGGTAAATTTCTAGAAGTGGAGACACTGTGTCAAAGGCTATGTTCATTTGTGATTTTGACAAGTTTTGCTATAATAACCTTGCTTGTGAGCTGCTGTACTTTGTGGTTTTCCCAACACTCTCCTTTTTGTTTGTTACATTTAGGGCAATGAAAATTCTTTCTTCCTCCCTCCCTCTTGCACAAAGCCGAGATTTAGTCTCTGACCCTCAGCAGAGGTAACCAAGGGGCTGAGAAAGTCCAAGCTTTGCTGTCAGGAGGCTAACAGGACAGTCTCCTTCCACCTGTATGACCTGTATCCATCCTGAGCTTCCATCCTCCTCTGTAGACACAGTGTCAGCTTCCAGGACAGTCCCTGCCCATTTACCCACCAACCTGTCCTCTTTTTTCCTGCCCATCCCCACTCCCAGGGGTTGGGTTTTGATCTCCCTCTGCCCAAAGGGAAGAAGAGTCCAAGCCAACAGAAAGGTCCACAGGCTTTTTAATGGTGTAATGGCTACTTCCCTTCCGAGACCCCATCTAATCATGACAGCGGCTTCCAGGGTGTTGGGGTGGGGGTAGATGGGTTGGGATAGGCAGAGGCCATGCAGTGACTGGGGAGGGGTGGGGGAGAGGTGTTACATTCTGTTTGGCATGTAAACATTCTTCAGTGGCTTCCCACAGTAGAGGGTGGGCAACTCCCTGTCCCTCCCCCCAACCCTCACAGGGCTGTTTCCTGGAGCAAGCCAGGCCCCTCAAGGAGTTGGGGAGGAGGAAGCCCATGTACTTGGGGCAAGGCCCTTCTCCTGTGCCCCCTTTGCACATAGATTGACTGGGGAGGGGAGGTGTGTTCTGAGGTGAGTACACCCCACATCAGAGCCAGTGACATAGGCGGTTGTGATGGGGAGGTGCCGGGGAAGTGGGGGATGGTGGCGGTCGTAGTGTAACACTCTTATAGAGGAGGAACTCAAGACCTGGAGGGCCTGATGCAGGGGATGGATGTTCAGGGAGAAAGAGGCAGCAGCTGAGGGTGGGGGCACTGGGAGGTGTGGATCTCCCTGGATCTTTCATAGGGAGAGAAGCAGACTCAGTCCCCTAGCCACACACCCACCCCCCACACTGGCTCTTTCCCTCCTCCTACCTTACCTGGTAACATTCAGTGACTCAGAGGCCAGGCCTGAGGTCTAGGGCAGACTGGGTTTTGTGTCAGCCAGCTCTGGTGCTGGGAGAAGCTGGGGGTGGGATGGACCTGGGGCTCTCTCAACACCCTCTTTCTCCCAACTCCAATCCAGGGTGTTGTTGATCCTAGGGCAGAGGTGAGGCTGGGGGCCCTACATTCACAGTTCGGTTGGTAGCAAGGAGCAGGTCCAGGGCCTGGGCACCAGGGGTCATGCCCTGGTTCCCATCTGGCAGGAGCTGATTGTCATTCAGAGAAGCTCTAGGTGGGAAGGAGTGGCCCCTCTTCCACCCCCTCTGCTGGACCCAGAGGGTGGTAGAGGGCCTTGGGAGGGCCTCAGGTTGACAAGAAGGGCTGTGTCTGAAGAGGTTTTCCTGAGTGTTCTGGAAGCTTCTGCATCAGCATGGGATGGACCTCAAAAACTGTCCACTGTGGTGTCCTCCCCTGGGCTGGTCTGCAGAGAAAGTGCCCCCTTGGCATGGAAGCAGCTGCCTGAGCCTGCTGACTCTCCTTGAGGGAGTTCAACTGGCACCGCCAGTCTGCTCCTGGGCCAGCTTCTTCTCAGGTGTCCTTCTGGGTGATGGTGGCTGGATATGGCCAGACCTCTGGGGCAGGCTGAAGCCTCTTTTCCTCTTCCCCCTAATGTCTTGGCTTGCTCTCTATGGCTCAGGGAAGGACAGAGAGGCCAGGCCAGGGGACAGAGTCTATAGGTGCTGAGGATGGAGGAGCCCTGCCGGGGCCCTGTCCCAGATGGGCAGGGTTGACTGTCTCTTCAGCAGCCAGTGGGCTGCTTGCCCCACAGGTAGGCAGCTGAGGCTCATGATGAGGTGGGATGAGCTATGCTGGAGCCAGAACCCAGGAGGAGGCCCCACATCCATGCTCCATGGAGCAGTGGCACTGCATGGACTGGGTTTAGGACAAGATGGGACAGGATGAAGGGTGAACTGGGAGGAGTGGGCATGAGCTAGAGACCCAACACACAAGTACACAATTGGAAAGTTAAAAGGGACGTTCTGCCTCCAGGGACCAACTGTCAGTCGACCAGTTCCTGCTCCCTCTGCCCTTGGGAGAGATGATGTCTGACTCAGCCTACTCCCCACAGGGAGTGACCCAACCAGAACCCAGACCTTGAATCTCCAGAGGGCCAGAGCAGAGAAGGTGATAAATAGCCATTCTCCACCTGCATGGAACTCAGGAGAGATGGGAGCTGGCTGAAACTGCAATAGGCAGGATTGAAAATAGAGGGCAGGAAGGAATTCCTGATGGGAAGGGGTCCTGAGCAGTACTAGATCAGGGGAACAGGGGGAGAGAGAGTGAAACCTTTTAAAAATCTTTCTCTAAATTTCCACTGGGAAACACTTGCCCAGAAAGCAGCCCACACTCCTCCCACTATGTCCCCATGGCCCCACCCAAGTTTAGGAGGATAGGGGTCTCTGTACTCCAAATGTACAAAGAACCCCCTCCCCTTGCAAGAATCACCTGCCCACTGCCCACTGCCCACTGCCCAGGATGGAGCTGACTTTGGGGCAGGTCAGAGCAGTCCCCTCACACCTGAGTATACCCATGGCCCCAGGGTCCCACCTTCCCAACCCCATGGGGCTGACAGCTGACAGGCCTTCCCTGGCCACCACAGGAGACAGTGGAGGAGGCTGGAGTCTCCACTTCTGGAATTTGAGGCTGTTTCGTGGAGGGAGGGAGCATTGACTGGAAGAGGGAAGGAGGGAAGATGCTGCAGGAAGGGTAAGCAGAGGCCCCTGGGGAGCATGGAGAGCAGCCAGGGCCTGGTGTGTGAGTGGGGGATGGCTGAGCCTTCCCGGGCGGAGGGGTCGTCGTGAGCCTGCCCGGGCAGAGGGGCAGCAGGAGGAGGGGAGGACGCGGAGAGAGAAAGGAGAGACAGCTACTCCTCTCCCCTGGCCTGGCAGGGCCAGAAGGGTGCGACGTGTGCTCGCGCACGTCCTCGCAGATGCAGGCGGGAAGCTGGGGCCGCGGGTGGCGCGCATGGGGCGCGTAAGGCTGTGCTGGAAGCTGTTCCAGTGTGGCCAGCTGCGGGCGGGGGGGCCGGGGTGAGGGTTGGGGGGCCGAAGAGAGCCGCGGACGTCATTATCTGGTCCCGGCCCGGCCCTCCGCGACCCCCGCCCGGCCTTTGGTTGTTGCGCGTTGACTCTGGAGTTTCCCTCTGGGTCCTTTCTTGGCTCCCCCGTGGGTAGGGGTGCCGTCAGGCTGGGCTCGGCCCTGGAGGACACCCCGGGGTGGGGGAGGCCCAGACCGGGCATGGTGAGAGGGGGAGGGGCTCTCTTTGCGGGACAGGGACTGGCTCCGTGGGGACGCGCTGGGATGGCGTGGGGCCGAGGTGGGGAGGCCAGGACTGCTGGGCGCGGGGGGCTTGGTGACTTGGGCTCGCCTTGGGCCAGGACCACGACCTGGGAGCTGTTTCGAACTGGGACGGGGGTCAGCAGCAGGGGCCGACCCTGGGGGCTTCTGCAACTGGAGCCTGTTTGAGGATCAGAGGACAGAAGGAAGGCAACAGAAAAGAAGAGGGCAAAGAAACAAAAAAGGAGAGACATTTTCAGAACGCTCGTGGCACCCGTCCCTAGAGGCTTGCATCCCTTGAGAACTGCATCCCCAGAGTCAGATGAGACTGAAGAGACCAGACACAGAACAGTAAACGGAGCCCTGGTGCTCCCTCCTTCCTGGGCAGGACCCCTCAGAGTCTCACACCCCTAGGCTGGGCTCAAAGAGCCTGCTGCAGGCTTTCTTTGAGGGCCCAGTTTCATCTTTAAAATGCTCATACTAATCTGAAATAAACTGTGTTTGTATTAATATAAAATAGTGTTTTCTCCCAACTGTTACAAAGCTCTGGGCTTTATCGTTTGCTTCAAATGATCCAATGGCACACCAGAGATGTGTGTGAACCCTGCTGGTCTCCATCAACCTTTCCTAAGCCTGGCCTCCCTAGCATCCTCTCCAGATGTGCTCACCATAGCTACTCCCTTGAGCCCAGGGACAGCACTGACCTGAATCAAAAGTGAGACAGAACACAGCTGGGAAATAGTAGACTGGAAGTAAAGCTGAGGGTCCCTCCTGAATCTTCCATAGCCCAAGGTTAACCTTGGCTCTGGGGAAGCCCCTTCTAGTAGAGGCTTCTGTGGTCACCCTCTGCCCACCCTGGGGCTGGCAGGGGTTTCTCACCTGCTGGTGATGGCTGTGTCAGATGCTGGGGCCGCACCATGGGATCTGCCCAGGGGCTGCTGGGCTGCGGCAGGCGTGGGCATGCGGATGCTGATGGGGCGGGGAATCCGGCTCCGGGTGGCAGCTGCCCTCCCGACCTTCCTAGGCAAGGCTGCTGCTGCTGCTGCTGCTGCTGCTACTGCGGGCTCTGAGGCAGGCGTGTCCTCCTCGGAGCCCGTGCCTGAGAGTGTCTCAGAGGCACGACGCTGCTCCTCGCTGGAGGAGGATGAGGCCCCCGAGGCCAGCCGCAACAGCAGGCGACCCTGCCTCTTCTCCATTACCAGCCGTGCCAGGTCCTGCTGTGGCCGGACCCTCTTGTTCCACCGCTCTTTGGCTGACAGCGAGCCTGAGGGTTCCGATCCTGTGTCCTCCTCAGACAGCAGGACAGGAATACGGCTCCTGGGGCGAGGGCTTAGCCTGGCCTGGCGGCTGGGGGAGATGGTGGCCATTTTCTCAAGGCCTGGCTCTGGTGGGGATGATGCTAGGACTGGCCCGTCAGTAAAGGCTGGGCCATTGGGCAGTAAGTCTGTGGCCACCTCTGAGGGTGTTTCTCCTGGAGGTCCAGACAGGGCACAGCTCTCCGTCTCAGCTCCATCCAGCCCTGACAGGGCGATGCCATTCTCCAGGGGCACTGGAGCCCCCTCTTCCATAATGCCCCCCTCAGAGGGCACCTCCAGACCCAGCTCGCCCCCAGTGCTGAACTCCTCAGGCCGCAAGGCTTGTCCTCCGGAAGACATGACGTTCAGGTGGGTTTTCTCCGCAATGTGCACAAAGGTCCTCTCAACTTTGGTGAAGGGTGAGGAAGTCACTGCCACACCCGCTGTCCCTGTGGAACCAGTCCCCATTCCTGGCCCTGCTCCAGGCCCCGGGGGCTTGGGCTCAGACTTGAGGACGGAGGACAGGGTACCTGGCTCCGACACGTCAAGTTGGCTGCCAGTGGGCTGGGGCCGCTCATGCTGAGGAGTGAGGGCAGCCAGGGTGCCCAGGTCAGGGTCGGGGGCCAGTTCGGCAGTGACGGGCGACTTCTTCATGTCGCCAGGGGAGACGAGCACCAGCGTTTTGGAGCCCTCCTCAGGTTCCAGGTCCCCGTCAGCCATGGAGGCCCGACCCCTGGACTCCTTCTGATCGTCAGCTAGTAGTGTGGACGGGGCCCCCTCCTGGCTCCGGTCGGTGCTCCTCTCGCTCCCGTCACTGCTAGAGCCACTGCGGGGCTCCAGTACCTCCTCCAGGGCCACTGCCTCCTCTTCTTCCTCCTCTTCCTCCTCCTCGTCCTCTTCCTCCTCCTCCTCTTCTTCCTCCTCCTCCTCTTCTTCCTCATCTTCATCTTCCTCCTCCTCCTCCTCCTTTTCCGGCTTCCCATTAGCCTGAGGCTGAACAGGAGCCAGCGGGACATGGGGGGTGGTGAGCAGCATGTGCGAGAAGCCCACCCTCCGGACCCTGTTGAGCAACCGTGCCCGTTCTCGGTAATCGGAGAGGTCTCTCTTGAAGTCCTGGTAGGGCAAGCTCAGAGGCACAGCTCGCGGGAGGCCATTCATCTCAAACGGGGGTGCCACAGAGAACACCTGCAAAGGGCACACACAGGGACCCGCTGAGGTTACACACCTTCTTTGCCTGGAGAAGTCTTCAACTGCACCCACAAGCTAGAAAACCCCCCCAGCCCCCAGGTGCAGCCACCACAATGTTTGTCTGCAGAGGGGGGCCCTGGGTCCGTTTCATTCATTGCTATATCCTCAGGCCCTAGAGTGATCTCTGGCACCTACTAAGTACTCAGTAAATCTCTCAAGAGTGATTAAGTCCAAGTTCCAGGTCCCTATAGGTCCCAGACCCTGATCCTAATGGCTTTTCTGTCTCCCTGCCCTCTCCATTTAACCCACTCCTTCCCTCACTATGTGCATCCCAAACCCCAGAGCCAACTGTAGAGTTTAGTTGATAGCAGAAAACAAGAACCAGAAGTTACCATAGCCACGATTTACATCTACCTTCCCTTTGAGAGATGAGGAAACCAGGCCCAGAGATGGACGGCAAGAGTCTGTGTCACTTTCTGAGAGGGGCATGCCCGTGCCGGCCATGGATGGCTAGCCCTCCCTATCCCTCCCTGGGAATAGCTTCTCTACAGCCAGAGAGCTGACTGCCCACGGTCACCAGAACCTATGTTCAGTGAGGGTGAACATAAAGCTGTACTCGGTCACTCAAAAGTGCAGGCTGGGCCCCTGGAGCACCAATCCTCTTCCCTCCTGCGCTGGCCTGACCTGTCAGCCAGGAATTTGTCCAGCCCTCATAGATAGATTTCAACTCAACTAAGTTTTCCACTTCGAAGTCTCATGCAGAGCCCTTGGCAAAGTAATGGCCAAACCTCTTTTTGGATTTTTAGATGCCGGCCACATCCTCCTTTGGCCTGCTTCCTTCCAGACTAGAAAGTCCACCTTATCAGGACCTGCTGTGTCTCCTTCACCTCCTGGATCCCATTCACCCCACAAATCTATTGTGGACCTACTCAGTCCACAAACATCCCTAGTGCCCACAGTGCACTGGGCCCATTGTGGCTGACAGGGCTTTGTTCCCCACTGGGATGTTGTTGACAGTGGCTGGCACTTTGTTAGCCTTTTTGAATACACTGGGCCTCTGTCTTCCTGAACTAACAGAACACAGCCCATCCAGACCAGAAGCCCCTGCTCATCTATCCGCAGTCCCTCTGAATCATTGCTATGTCTGCTCCCCGCAGCCTGTGAGCTCCACTGATCCTGCCTGTGGTTCCCAGCCTGCTCTCTCCACCCTGAACTCTCTCTGCCCTGCCATCCGTCCTTCTTGGAGCTGCCTGAGTATCTTCCTGGAACTCAGATCTGACTCTCTCAATCTCTATAGCAAACCTGCATTGTCCTCAGAAGACAGTTCCCATCCTTGGCTTGACGCAACCCCAGCCCCACCCACTCTGGCTCCCACCTTCTCTCCAGCCTCACTTACTGCAGTCCCCTGCCATGTGTCCCAGCCATTCTGATGCTGCCAGAACTTCTCTAGACACATCAAACGTTTCACACTTTGCCCAGGCAGTTTCTTCTGTCCCGGGGTCCCTCAAATCCTCTCTGTTCATGTGATAAAATCCTCCTCTTTTTTCAGCCATTCTTCTTCCACAAAGCTTTCCTGTCCACCCGTCAATCAGACTTCATGATTCTCTCCTTCCTACTTGTATACCCACATCTTCTATCTGCGTGTGTTCACATGGTTCTTTCTCTTATAAACAGAGCCCCTGGAGGGCTCGCTCTTCCTTCCTTCCTTCCTTCCTTCCTTCCTTCCTTCCTTCCTTCCTTCCTTCCTCCCCCCTCCTCCTCTTCCTCCTTTTTTTAAAAATATATTTGTAGATGGACAGCATGCCTTTATTTTATTTGCTTATTTTTATGTGGTGCTGAGGATCAAACCCAGCGTCTCACACATTCTAGGCAAGCGCTTTACCCCTGAGTCCCAGCCCCAGCCCTGGAGGGCTTTTTCATTCATTCACTCATTTAAGAAGTGGTCCTTGAAGCTGGACACGGTGGTTCACACCTGTAATCCCAGCAGCTCAGGAGGCTGAGGCAGAAGGATTCCAAGTTCAAAGCCAGCCTCAGCAAAATTAACGAGGCCCTAAGCAACTTAGCAAGACCCTGTCTCTAAATAAAAAATAAAAGGGGCTGGGCGTGTGGCTCAGTGGTTAAGCGCCCCTGGGTTCAATCCTTAGTACCAAGAAAAAAAGTGGTCCTTGAATGTCTGCTGTCCTGTTTACCATGTTATAGGTTAGGAATCTGTGGATCAAGTTTTAAACAAGATAGACATGGTTCTTGGTTTCATGATGAATTCGATGTCTACATCAGAAAAAGAAATGAGATGATGGGCCCTCCACAAAGGTTGTGATCCTATATATGCTTATATGAACCAGTTTGTATAGCAGTGGGCTTCCGGATAACTCAATAAATGTCAGCTCTTCCTATTCCCTACTCTACTCTGTCTGGTTTGTAATCATTGTCCTTTCCCCAACTTCAGAAAAGTGGGACCCCACACCTATGGGGGTGAGGTGGAAACAGGAGAAGCTCTGCCACCAGGGCTCCAATACCAAAGCTGGTGGAGGGTGAGGCAGGAAGCTGCAAGGCCAAGCATCTACCAGGTTGTGTCTTCCCCTGCCCAAATGCCACCATCTTCCTTGTAATCCATGCCTTTGTCTTTTGAGGACTTAATTGGGGAGGGGGAGTAATTCAAGACAAGGTAGTCCTGGGCCCTGCGGGACCCCAGCACACCATGAAGGGCCAGGCAAGGAACATCCTTGGAACTTTATCCTGTCCACATCCAGGCTGGAAGTCCCCAGAAATTGTTTTCTTTATCCATCCCCTTCATTCATTCTCACTCATCCATTCACTCGGTTAGCAGACGTTAAGTACTGACTCTGTGCCAGGTCTCATGTCGGGGCATCTTGCCCCATTCACTTATGGATGTTAAAGCTAAAGAAAATGGCTGGCAGAGGGGAAGGAGACTATTGTAAGTTCCTGGGTAAGTGGGAGGCGATGGCACTTAGAACCAGGGACAGACAGACATGCAGAGCTCTGGTCATGTTTCTCTCTTGCCTAGCTTGGAATTTGCCCTCCTAGCACCAGACACATCCCACCCAACAGGAGTGTCCTTTGGCTGCACTGGTCACCCTTTCTCTGAAGAACCTCTCTATTTGCCCTATCCCATGGCTGACTTCTTGATATCATAGTTAGAACTATCCTTTCCACTGCCAGCTGACCAAGCCCTGGCTTGCTGTGGAGAAGTCCCGTCCAGAGGATGGGACCCTCACACACAGTGCCCACAATAGATGATTGCAGGTTGAATCCTCTCTGCTTCATCTCAAGGCCGTCCTCTCCTACTGCCTGGGAGAGAGGAAGAACAAGAACTGAAATCAGTTGCTTGTCATAAAACCAGACCGGGTCACCAAGACCTGATGAGAGGAATTGATTTGGATACTGTTCCAAATCAGGAAGCCTACTGACCAGGTGGCCCAGGACCTAAAACTCTTTCCAGTGCTTCAGTGGCCTCCCACCCCATCCCTTGGCAGGGGAATTGAGACCTTCTGCCCTTTGGGAGAAATGAGTGTGACTTCAGCATCAGTACCTCTTCACAGCAGTCTAGACAAGCTGGATTTTCTATTTCAAAGCCCCTCTGCTTTGCTCCCCAGCTGGGGAAGGACAGAGGCCTGGCTCGGGCTCCTCCCTCCTCAGTTAGCCTAGCCCTCTCCCTACCTTTCCTGGGTGCCCAGAGTGCTCTTGCCCCTTGATCTTGTTGTGTTCATTCACTCAGTCAGTCACCTCTGGATGTCCTCTGTATACTTGGCCCCAGAAGCCTGAGGACACCACGGGAAGGGCACGGTTATGACACTGCTCTACCCCACCTGTGCTGGGTTCTAGCAAAGGCCAGTCAACTCTGGCCAGTCTCAGACCTTCTTACTCTCTTTCTAGGGCAGTGAATGAATTTGCATCATGTGGCTCCCAGGCCTGGCCTGGCACAGCATTTCTGTTTTTTTTTGTTGTTGTTGTTTGTTTGTTTGTTTGATTTTTCAAGTGCAGAGCCCACTGAGCACAGTGGCATACACCTGTAATCCCAGAGGCTCAGGAGGCTGAGGCAGGTGGATCAAAAGTTCAAAATCAGCCTCAACAACTTAACAAGGCCCTAGGCAACTTAGTGAGGCCCTGTCTCCAAATAAAAAATTAAAACATGCTAGGGAGGTGGCTCAGTGGTTGAGGGCCCCCGGTTCAATCCCCAGCACAAAAAATAAAAAATTAAAGTGCAAAGCTTGAGTCCCACCCCCAATTCTGTAAGTCAGCATTGAGGCCCAGAACTCCTGCTGTTTTAAAACTCCCTGGTGATTTGGACTGAGTTCAGTAAAAGGCAGAATTGGCAAGGGTTGGATAATGGGGGAGAAGGAGCAGGCCATTCAAGCAGAGATCCTTGAAAAAGGTGAACGCCCCAGCCCCATCTTTCCCTCCACTGAGCCCAGTTGAGAGGACTGAGGTCTGGGCCCCACCAGCTTCAGGGTCCAGCCAAGTCCATGTTGACTTCTGTAACACTGACACTGGAGACAGTTACTCCACATACCTGCATCCCAGTGCCCACACAGGGTGCATAGGGCAGCTCTTGTCTGGACCCCAGCCAGGCCCAGACAGTGTAACACATCAGCCCAAAGTCCCAAGGTTGAAGGGGAAGGACCTGAGAGGGGTTGACCTCAGAAACTGGCTATCATGCACAGTCTGCCTCCCCACCTCCACCCTGGAAGACAAAACTGCTGAGAGAACCACCCCCTACCTCCCCACCATGCTGGAGTCCTCTGGTCTGAGAAGAAAGGAAAGGAACCATGAATCAAGTAGCCTCTGGCAGCTCTTTGGCCACCATGGCTGTTTTACCCAAATTCTTCCTCTGTTTTTCTGCCCTCTCTTCACTCTAAACCCACCTCTCCCAAGTCAAGAGTCCTTCTTCCACTCTGCCACCCACACTCACTCTGGACAGGGAAGGGAAAGGTGGGAATATAGCTGTTCATGCTGGGGCCCCACAGGCTTCACACCCT